TCACAATAAGAGGCGACAGTTAATTTATTATAAAAAGATTATAAAAAAAAAAAAAGGTCCACTGTAACGAGCTTTGACTATTAATTTGTTTTATAGAATTATATAATTAGTCTTATATACAGTAAATATAAATAAATAGACGAGACTTTTTTTGTAAAAAATAACGCTAACATCATCATCTGTAATATACTGGATATTAAATTTTTATTAAAAAAATATACAAAGAATAATTAAAAGATATGAATGAATGAACGGACAGAATTAATGTTTATGTGAAAATATATATTTTAATAAACATACATTTGTATATTGCGAATTCAATTATATGGTAATTATTTCAAAAAACATAATATCAATATGCTTTTGCTGATAGTCGTGCAGATTTTCGATGTTTGTCTCATCCATTTATTGTACGATTAATTGAGCGATATATTTATTAGTTTACCGACATATTGATAATATCGTTAGATTGGATTGTAGTAGAAATTTCTGGTCCTTGTACATCTACAATCTAGCTCTATTCCCATCAAAATAAAGATCAATTCTGCCGATAATTCATTACCACCATGTGTATATATCATAGCAAAGTTGTCCGATGGTCATGGTAAACATAAAAAAAGATCGGTTTATATGAAACTTGTGACTACACGGAGAGTAATAATATAGGTGTTATTATAGGATAGAATCATAATGGTCAATTTTTAACAACAAATTTAAAATATCCGTCGATTTTGGATTGTTTTGAATATTAAGTTGCTTAGCTCGTGTGGCTCGATAGGCACCAATCACGCTAAGTAATTCTTTCGTTAGGCACATCGGAAAGGAGCAATCCCCAACCAACTGTTAAAGGTGTTAGTTGAAAGTTGTTTGATAGAATCAGGTTCGATGTTAAAAGAGGCTCCCTGATGTTTGGGAAGATGCATTGTGTCTACACGATGTTTACATTAGTTAACTAATAATTGGATTCGGAAAAAATAAAGTTGAGCGATTATTTGAAGACATTAAATTGCCTATTAGAATATTAATTAACAATTACCATATGATGCACGTATTAAGACAAAATTTATTTTGATGATGATAATAATATCAACGATAACAACACACATGGTGAAAAAAATTCGAGTGTGAATACCCAGGATGTAAAGTGGAGATATAAATTCTGAGATATTTTCCGTGATTCAATTATTTTATTGGTGATTAAATAACAATATTAAAATCATTCAACTTTGCCGAAGGCCAGAAATTTTTCTTCAAAT